AACAATAGAAATCTACACTATTATATAGATAACAATCAGGTGTAAATAATCAGGTGTAATAAAATAATCATTATTACAGCTTAATCACACCACAGTCTATGTTTGCTTATAGCATATGTCTTGCATATATTATTCTGAATACCATCCTTATCAGTTGATTTCTGTCCATGTTACTTGGTAGTAGCTAAGCTGACAAAATTTATATTTATATAATTTAGTACGTTATTATTTTTGCATTGATTCCTCACTACCATGTTTGGAAATGACCTGGGGGTATTCTTAATTAAAGAAAGCCTAGAGTTTCATTTACCAAAAACAGCAAGAAACAGTACATCTGTCGGTAGGAAACTGCTGAAATGTCGGTTAAATAGCTTTATTCTATTCATCTTTCTCTGATCCAAAGCACTGGCCCTGCCTTCCAGCCAGCTGTGAACATGATGGATATGGCAACGTTCCTTACTTACTGAGATATGGTATTGAGGAAAATATCCCAAAGAATGACGTGAAATAAAAACCAAAGTTTTCATTGATTAGTGCTAGTAGCAGTACTCAGAACTTGCATAGGTACAACTGATTCTGTAGCAGAGGTTGCAACATATATTTTTAATGTATTTTTTAGTAAAAAAATATGTGGCCAAAATGTTTTGAAAATTGTTCCTTATTCACTTTGTTTTAATTTTATTACACTCTTTTAGTTTTATCGCAATTTATTTATTCTCAATGATAATCTGTTAGAATATATGTATTGTTCTTAGTTAATTTAATTAGACTTAATTTTTTGGATTAATATTTATGCTTTTGAATAATACTATGGCATCAAAGATGCATGTTCTGTTATTTTTGACAGAATGAAAAAATTATGTATTTATTTTTTTGTCATAACATTCCTTTGATAAAGTTTTCTTTCATTGCTTGTTTTTCAACTCTGTTGATATTCTGCTGTGGAATGAATGAAGGAATGGCGTCTCGAATTTCAGATTTGCCTTTGTGACGACTGAATTGAGGACTTATTGGAATTATTCGAAGTTTATTTAACAAAATAATGAATGACTCTCCCTGGAAGGAGACGAAAGGGTTCCCTTAAGAATAGTTGCCTCTAATCCTAACTAGTCCTTGTCAAACATACCAAAGATTTGTTTGTTGCCCATGGTTTCATTTCATTAGTCTGTGTCCCCCTGTCCCTTTCTGATATTGTATTGCACTCTGCTTAAATGACATATTAACCCCATCATCTACAGTAAATACGATTTAATACATTTTAACAACCACTTACATATTAATAACCACTTACATATTCTTTAAAAACCCAGAGAACAGATAGTCGTCGCACTAGGGGAAGTATATACATCCACTCACACACACACACACACACACATTCATTTCTCATAATTGCTTATTCAGTGCAGGGTCATAGGCCCAGCCATGGTACAGCTGGCATGGGATGCCAGTCTTTCACAGGGCACTCATGCTCACACAGTGGTGGAGATAACAATTCATCAAACTGCATGTTTTTGGACTGTTCTGGGAAATCTACACACACAGAACTTCACACACACATCCTTGTGCATATTATTGTTATTATTATTATTATTATCATCATCATCATTAATCTTCTATAGCTGCGTATCCTTATTATTATTATTATTATCATCATCATCATTAATCTTCTATAGCTGCGTATCCAGTGCAGAGTTGCTATGAGCCGGGACACAGTCCCAGGAGATGACTGGAGCACCCGAATTAGGATGCATGTCCATCACATTCTAAATTAATAAAATATATGTGACTGTATTGTGTTTTATGCATGTATATATAAAACACACATATAATTTCATGAATAGCACTAGCTATTACTTGGAAAATGATCAAATATGTGAAAGGAAGAATTGCTTAAATTATTATATTACAATTTTTCATAAGGGCCACTTGTAAGTGATGTTGGAAACGTTTTTATGGTATATCGGCGGGACGTGTGCCTTTCTTGAACCAAAGCAAAACCTGAAGCTCTGTCCTTTTTCCTCTGTAGTTTTTATCCCTGTGAATACCTCAAGCATTGAATGGGCCGCCATGCCGGATCCGTCCCTGTGGTGCTGTGCAATGCAATCCTACAAAGAACAAAGTCAAATTATACCAAAGGTTTTAAAAGCGTTCTTTCTCCAAATGGGTGCAAAATTGTGGCATACTTGCAGCACAGACTGTGTGTTCCTTCCTGAATTTTTGGAGATATATACCTCATAGATTGTAATGTGGGATAATGCTATTATAGCATATGTAATAAATTATACACTTTGCTTTCCTTTTTGGTGACTGTGACATTAAACAACAAATAATGCTTTGTATGTTTTTTTAAGTTCTGATTTTATAATGTTGATGAGGTGCACTTACTAACCTGTGTAAATATAGGAATTCTTATCCATTGGCATTGGTTGCATAGCAATTTTTATAAAACATTTCTCTTCTTGTGTCGACATTATGGTAAATTCTGCATTTGGGCCATTTGGTCTTGTTTTTAGTTTAAGTGCTGCAGTATTGGCCTGATTTTGTGTGTGAGGGCATTTACAGCAGGGCGAGTAGCTTAAGGCAATGTGATTAGTCAGATTTCATGCTTACAAAAGATTATTTTTATAAATGTTATTTCTGGTTGACTTTGGTTAATCTGTGGCTCAGTTATGTGTGTAGTGAAGTGTTCTTCTTTCTTAGGTGAATGCAGCCAAGTCATATGCAATTAAAAAACTAGCTTTGACATGGTTCCCTTGATTAAATTCAATGAGCAAGCAAACTCATGTAAAGAAGCTTCCTATTGGGCATGTAGTATCTTCCAGAACGTTGAATTTCGCCATAATTATATTGGTTACAATGATAAAATAATTTTGTTAAAAAGGTCAAAGTGCCTAGTACCATTTTTATTGTTTTACTTGATTATGTTCACTAGATCAGTGTTTCTTAATCTGGTCCAGGGGGACCCACACACAGTCTAAGTTTTTGCTCCCTATTGTAAGCTGGGAGGGAGCAAAAACTATCTGAGGGTCCCAGGGGGCTAGGTTCAGAAACGCTGTACAGTATATATGGATGTGCTTTTAAAAGTGATGCTTAGACCAAAGACAGATTACAATAAAAACAAAGGCTATCGTCTGTTCTACGTAAGCATGTACCCAGGATCTAGTGCAGAAAGCATTGTCTAGATAAAGGTAGAAATGCGGCGACAAATTTACAGTCAGTTCAGGCTCAACTTAACATATAATGTTTTAAAAAATTGTACAGCAATACATAATGTTTTGTCAGTGTACAATTCAAATGTCAAAAGGTTGATTGTAGCAGATGTGTCCAAAGATCATTTTTACCAATTATGATGGCTAAAGGCTTCCATGTGTACAGAAAAGCCCACATATTACCCTTCAGTATTGTTTTCATAAATTACAAATGTGAAATTGGGGCATGCAGTGTGGAAAAAACTTGACTGTTTTTGTTCATCTCTTACCTGAAAAAGAGTATTTTCAATTTCAAAAAGTTAAACAACAAATATTTTTACTCTGATATATAATCTTGCAGGTACAATATGATTAATTTTGAAGGTTTAAAAAAATTAAGAATGACTATTTAGGGTATGGTATCCACTTAGGAACATGTACTGTATTATACTGTTTTTTTTTTTTCAGTTTTAACTGAGAAAGTACATTGTGAAGTGGTGAAATTTCCTGTAATTTACTGATTGTTATCTGTAAAATAAAACTTGTTACAGTGTAAAATATTTTAAAATAGAAATACTGTCCTGCTGTTCAAGTCATGCATCTTGTACACTGCTGAGAGTCATGTATGTTCATATATGTTTCTGTTTACATATGTGTACACATGCATATTCTTCAGTTTTTCAAATTAAAAATAAAAGTTAAGTAAACTAATATTGGTATTAGTCCAAATGGCTGTTTGTATTTGCACCTCTTGTCTGTGCAATATTCTTAGTGGAGTTACATGTTCTGCAAACATTTTCGCTTTTAATGTTACTAAACTCATTGTACTGGGCACTTTAAAACCTTTGCAGAATTTCCACTCATGTATTGTTGTACTGTTTGTATTTGATATTTAAATATAATGTTCATCAATTAGAGCTTTGTTTGCATCACAGTAAACCTCTCCTACTAATTTAGTTATTCTCACTATCATAAAATGGTAGTGCTGTATATTCTGCAATTAATATAAAATAAACTTTTCTGACATTCTTAATTGTCTTCATTTTCGGATGGTAGGCCAAAAATCAATTCCTAAGGCAGAAGCACACATTTCATTTGGTGATCAATGAGATATCTAATATTTGATTTTCACAGGGAAAAATGTGCTTGTAATATTGACGGTGCTGTTTTTTTTTGTTTTACTTTTGTTACTGTATATCCACACAATGACAATCATTACGCATACAGACAACTTTCCATTAGACACGTATTTCCAGAATACATATACAAATGTAAAAAGCATACTTAAAGAACTCCATTATTAAAAAAATAAAATTTATAGAGATCAAATTAAATATTGGTTAAAATGTGTCCCAAACAACCTGAAATAGCTGAGGATGACCTGGGGGGTGTTGTTCCACAAAGCAGGACTTCTCCGTTAGCTGGGTTATGGTTGTCCAGTAGGAATTCTCCTTACCTAGACTCTCATTGGACGATCATGACTTCTATCTCAAGTTAACCCAGCTAACTGAGAAACCCCCCTGATGGTAAAGGGGACTGTAAACGATAGAGTCTTACTTTTCTCCTGGGCAAGCCCTAAAAACACAATATCATCAAAATCACGGTTTGTCACCTGTCGGAGTTTGCGGAGCTGTGGCAGGGAAACACGGTTTTATCTGTACGGAGAGGGCTGGAAAAGCTGAGAAACCCTGATCTAAATCATACAGGAAGTGAACAACAGAAACACCACATTCATTTGTCCAAATTAGGATACGTCTTCAATTACAAAATGCTTACATTAAGTGTACATAAAAAAGACAAATTGGGGAGTGATTAATTTTGAAATATTTTATTAGTCTTATAAAGGGGCAGAAAAACTATTTACAGTGGTTCTCTATTCAAACACCTTAAGGCCAAAATCTGTTTAAAAAAACAATAAAAAAAACTGTAGTTACTTTTGCACTGTGAAGTCAGCTTGCACCAATATCTGCCAGGACCACCTGATAGGCTAATGAGTAAATCCAGATAGGAAGAAATCTCCCAAAGCAGTGTTTCCTAACCTGGTCATCGGGGATCCCAGATGGTGTGCATTTTTGCTCCCTCCCAGCGTCCTGTTGGACAGCCCACATTTTTGCTCCCTCCCAGCGCCCTGTCGGACAGTCCACATTTTTGCTAAATATGGACTGTCTGAGGGTCCCCAAAGACTGACTAAGAAACACGTTTTCAAAGCATTCAAGAGAAAGGCAACAATTACGTAAAGGCTTCCATAACAACAGTATCTGTTTTGCAAAAGAAAAATGTTCTTCTGAGTCTGTTGCAGTTGCATAAAACTAACTACTCATTGATAAAACTAATTAATCATTTAAACTGCAATACCCAATGACATCTCCAACCTTCTGAAGTGATAGAGCTCCAAAACCTCAAAAGCAAAGTTAGGTAAATAATGCAAACCGTACATACAAGTATGTAGCAAGTCCAGTCCCAGAAAAGGCAAAAATGTGATTTTATTTCCATTTCTTCCTTTTTCATTAGAGCATGTAAGAAAAGTATTTATTTATATCAGCTTTTCATTTCTGGTAGAAGGTGGTTTCCATACAGTGACTGGCATAAAAGTGGTGACCAGAAGTGTGAGTGAGATCTATACAGTAGCTACTTCGCATGCTGTTCCTAGGGCTTCCATTTTCTCTACATTACAATCAGGACACAGTGTTCAGAGCTTCTGGCTGGTAAAAAATTCTTTCGTCTGTCCACACGTGGGGTTGACGCACATCGGGCAGGAAAGGGTCAGCTGCCGGGAACAGGGTTCGTTGGACTGCAGGTGAGAGCGCACCAGGTCGGCCAGGGCCTGCCAGAAGATGCGATACTCAATTACACATTTTAAATTATTCTTCAGAACAACAATCCAACATTTCAAATCTATCATTTGATATGCATGACATGTATGTATCTATAGCTCAAAGTGCGATGTGACATGCAGTAATTAATTGCTAATTCAGGAAAAATATTTTAAGATAAATAAATAGATGATAATGCATCTTTACCCACTGTACTCTATCTAACCTACAATACAATACTTAGTGAAATGTTTGTATTCAAGGAAAAAAACTACTGCAAGAACCCTGGTGAATTTCTTTTTATGAAAACAGTGTATAGAGCTGTTAGAGTGTATAGAGGACTCACGGCAACAATGCAAACTAGTTTTAAGAATTGTGTGTCGTATCTAGATAACATAAAACTGAAATCTCCTTTCACCTTACTATCATAACTGATCATAACATTTTAAAAGAAACAAACTCAGTTCTACAGATGTTTTTGCAAAAAGCAAAACCAATGAGTATACTAAAAGTTTAATAAAAAGGCACTATGCAATTCAATTGCTACATTTATTTAAAATAACTAATATACAACTTAACTAATAATTCTGGAAACATTGTATCATTCAAAGATATATGATCTATACAGACGGAGAAATGTTTTTACATTGTTTAGAATCATTTACTACGGTGCAGAAAGTTTAACATGTTCTTACCTTAAAGAATAGTGGGTTTCCATTTAGAGACTCAGCCCTTCTGATATTTTCTACACCACACTGCCGAAGAAAACAAAAGGTTCAGTTTCTATTTATAGATTATCTCTTACCATGCAGTAAGGTACATTAATTTATTCCAGGTTTAGATATTGAGTATTTACCACTCTATTAAACCTACTTGTAAGACAAATATGATATAATATAGGTATTATATTGGGTGCTGGTGGTTTTCTTAAAAGCCTTTTCTAAAATGTACATGTAGGTAAAATGATGATTCTTATTTGTCTTTCAGTTACAGTACTTGTGGGTTAGGGGTTTTTAAATATTCAAAGATTGTTCTTAAATCGTAACCACTGAACATAATACTTTCATGTCATGCAGGCTGGAAACTAAATCTGATATGTCAACAAATCTATTACAGATTTATTTACATTTTTGTGTAACAAAACACGGTGTGCTGATGCACTGTGTGTAATAAATCACCCTGTAAAGAAATCCTGATAATTTTACTATATGAGAAAGACTCACCTCCTCCCCCAAAACCTGGGAGTACTCAATGTCCAATTCATGGAGCGTCTCAATGTGGTCACTAGTGAAAGCAATTGGCACCAGTAGGATGTTCTTCTTTCCCCGCTGACACAGGCCCTTGATGACCTCATCCGTCCGTGGACCAAGCCACGGCATAGGGCCTACCTGAGGAAGCAAAGGCAAGACAGTCTGCAGTTGAGACAGATTGCTGCACCGTGAATGTCTTTCCCTGCAAATTAAGTTTTATACCACAGGGAAGCACTCAGGATAGAATGGAACTCCATGACAGGGGATACACTTTGCATGGGAAATTTGGAGAGTCATCTACCCTAAAAGTATGCCCTTCGACTGTGGAAGGCAATCAGAGTTTCCCAGAGGAAATCCACACAGTACAGGGAGACCGTGATTCAGGAATAAACATTAATACTAAAGAACCACTGCGAAAAAGGTGAGCCTACATATTAAGTATTGAATATTATAAAATTGAGGGTAGGTTGGCAATAACTTTAAAAAAACAAATGTACAAAACAAATATGGTTTCTAGTCTTTCAGTAGCCAGTTAAGTATAAAGATTCACCACAAGATGGCACCATAGAGTATTCACACCCAGTATGGGTATCACCTTGGACTGCCACACCAGGCGATAGGGATTGCAGTGCTGCAGTCTCTCCATCACCCTCTGAACTGTCGCTCCCACTTCCTGAGGATAGGGATCTCCACGGTTGACTACCTGCACACAAAGATCCCACAGCGCCGATGACGACAGTGCTGCTGGTGCAGTGATGAGGAGCTCAGCAACACTACAGGAGAAGACAAGCCCTGGCATCAAAGTAACACAAAGGCAGTGCGTCTATCGTGGAGACCCAGCCGCAAAGCAACACCAGTAACAAACTGCAAGACAGTCATTTACCATGTGTGTGTGAGTGAGCCCTGGGTACAGGACCTCTGCCCTGGGCCGCCTGCTGCCTGGGATGTGCTCCAGGCCCAATAGCGATCCCTAACCCAGTTAAGTGCTGCGTGGGTGAACGGACGGAAGGATGGAAATGATTCTCTTTAGTTCAGCAGCTACTGGAAGCCGCACATAGAGGTGAAATGTGAATGTTATTGAAATCAGTTGTGTTTTTTTGTCAGAAAAGCTGTTTTGCTCACACTATATCACAGTGAGCTAATCCTGGAGGCCAACAAAGCATGTAAATTCTACGTAAGATCACAGAAAAAAAAAAAATACAAAAATGATGTGTCATTAAAAAATTTCAAGTAAAATAAGCATTAATGTGAAAAATTATTAGTCCCCTCCTGTACTTACGGACATGGGTAAAGAATGAGCAGAGAAGAGAATAACAACGTCGTCCCTCTTCTCTGGTGGGAACTTCTCCAGTTCACTAAGAATATGTTGGGTAAAGCACTGGAAATAACACAGTTAGAGGGACAACACTTATATTATCTGTACAACAACTTATTTAGGCAGAAATTTGAACAGAACAAATTTAAAATAACATTCTTTAAAGCGGAATGTCACATTTTGGAAGGTATTGAAGGGACAGGCGTGGAAAGCTCAGCCAACCCTTTCTTTCTGAAAATCTTCCCTTAATGTAGTTTATTAAAGCTACAGGGAGCAACACACAAACCCAATAAACCGATATAAATAAATCAAGATATTATTAAAATCCAATATAAATATCATAAATCACAGTATTATTGTAAACTACTTGAGTGCAAGCTAAATAAGGCTGATGGTGAACATTACATTCTGAAGCCAATAATTCATGGACTACATGGAGAGACGAGTGGTTTAAAAATTCTTATGTCAACATGACTAATGGCTGCACAGGATGAAGATAAAGCATAACATTCCAGATATGCTTAGCAGGCGGTACTCGTGTAGCCTCTTTTCACATGTGTTATTTCCAATAAGCAAACGCGGGGCTCTAACCTCAATGAGCAGTGGGTGGGTGGGCCATCTGTCAATCACACTCCACTGCATTTTGGGACTTTCTCCCCGGCTACTGTAGTAGCGATAGATAGCATTCAGGCTGCTGCCTAATTACAAAAGTCACAGACACTTATAAATGCAAAGACATTTAAAATGGCAAATGGCTTAACACAACTCACTTCACCATTTCGGGCCAATTTACTTTGCCATGGTACAGACATGTCATAGTCTCCCTTTACAAGTACCCCATGTGAAACTGAAATGCTTATTATCAAACACAATTGAACAATTCAATTTAGAACACCCAACAATAGTACATGTAGACGCGGAATTTAAAAGGAGCATGAAGAAACACTAAATGTTTTAAACAGTCACATTTATAGTGGAAACATAATATTTCATTAGCTCTAGTTAGTATAATGGAGGTCTCACGTTACTTTACAGTGTAATTTCAATAGTAAATGTATCCATTTACCCCAAAGCAAAAGTGAAAATCCACACAGAAAATGGCTCAGAGTAAATAAGGTTGTTGCAGGAGTAGCAGTTTTCTAACAGCACAAAGGAGGGTGCAGTGAGACACAGGTTACTGTACCCCTAACTAGTGTTTTTACATTATTTTACATGACTCTGGAAATACATAATGATTTCATTCGGCTCCAGTTTTAGTAGTTAGGTGCCTTTAAATGGAATATACCACACCTGTGGTGGAGCAGCTGTACTGTGGGTACTGAGTAAAGGCCACTGCCCTCTCTATGCCATCCCTCTCCATCTGCTCAATGGCGCTTTCCGTCAGTGGATGAACATACCGGAACCCAATGTAGAACTTGTGTGGAGCTTGTGGAAGACAGACAGACAAAGAATTCACCAGCCATGGACAGCACATTTATATGTAATATCAGCATGCAGGTCTGAGGCTTGTATCAAGGCACTCAAAAAAAAAACTAAACTAAACAAACGCCTTGGAGGCCTTATCTGTTTCCCTGGATACATTAAAATGTTCTCCATTCGACTGACTGTATATTAAGGGAATCTGACCAAAAAAATGAAAACATAGGGACTTTATTTTTACTACTTACTAGTTAAAGACTGTATACCACAGGTAATATACTTTCACCGTACCGTCCTGGGGGAAACTTAAAATATGACTTGTCTATGGATGGATATTAATAATGTTGGATGCTTAAATGTATCTCTGAAAAAGTTAAAAAGATAAACAAACATGCCAATATATATATATAATGGGAGCATAGAACAGAAAGTGTTTGTAATGTGACATTTAATAAAACTGAACCGAAGCAGCTTTAAAATAATCGCTAACATAAAGACAAACTTAAGTTATTTTTAAGTTTTTTTGTCCTTAGAATTTACATTTGTGGCAGAAATAAAACAGGACTAACATTGTATTTATACATTCAATGTGTCAACATGCATAGAAACATGCTGCAAAACTGTAACAGTGTAAAGCAAACTTGCTAAGAAATGTAATTTCCTAAATTTTTTAATCCTTAAGTACCATATAAATACTCTGCTCCATATATTTAGATTCAACTGATTCAAATCAATGAAATGCATAAAACAAGCATTATAAAACACATTATTTCACTGCATTGTTTATGGCAGAAATAAGTGATGCACAAAACGATCCTACAAAACTGTTCTTGCTGTTGGTACATATTTACATTTTTTATATTAGCAACTTAAAAACTCAAACTGCAATGAAATGATATCAGGATAAAAATAATCTTAAGAACCACAAGCAGTTTAAAGCCAGATGTCCAGCAGGAAAAGCTTATCGATGAGGTGGGGAGGGGTGTGAATGGTTACTTTTATCTGCTCTCTCACAGAAAGGCCACTCCCGACCTGTATCTGCCAGAGCCCAGCCAGAGCCCAGCCAACAGGACGTTTGTATGTGGAAGTTTCTGGTCAGAATGGAGCAGTGTGAGAATATGATTGTTAATTATGTTACATAAAATTTCAAAAGCGTAGAAAATCTATATCACAATTCCAATTAAACTAAAAGATCACTATTCTGAAAACCAGCAGAATTTGGTTAACATTTGAGTGCACAATGGTTAACAGGGAAAACGCCAATGGATAGAGATGATCAAATGTCTATAAGTGCTACTGTGTGTGATGTGTGTGTTTGGGTGGGGGGTGATTTACCTAAATATAGTCTAATAGTTAACATCCTGTTACCCATCCATTTACCCATCCATCCATCCATCCATCTCCAGTAATCTCTTACCTAATACAAGGCTGCAGCAGTTGTACACTAAAGGAAATTTAATTAAAACACTGTAGGAGAAAACTGAGCCAAACAGAGGTGCAAGGGCAGTGGCAAGGGAGAAGCAGGCCAGGGACTGGGAGCGAAAACCGATGAAATGTTACTTTAACTTCAGTTTCAACAATTTCAATTTTTGTCCCAGAAGTTACGATACCTGTTTCAGGGCACATGTCATCCAGGAGTCTCACCATCCCCTCACCCTGCAGCGTAGTCCATTTTTTAATAGGGGAACCACCCCCAATTTTGCTGTATTGCTCCTGAATCTTAGGAGTTCGCCGCTTAGCAATAAAAGGCCCTAGTTTGCTGAGGAAGAAAACAAAATCCAAAAAAATGTTCAGAAACTATGAAATAATGAGTAGGCAAGGTTCTACCTTCAGCATAAAAATTATGTATAATGAGACCAAAAAAAACTCAAGTCGCAGAACCAGGGGATAGACTTACAGATCTAGAGCTACTTTTCATACTACTGTATTCAGCTCATGTGTACAGTGTACCATAAAGGACACACATTGGGTGTTCTTACTTTTGCACTGGAAGCGTCATCAAATCCCTGTCCATAAAAAGCCGGAAGAGAAATTCATGGACGTCATCAAGTTTCTCGGGTCCACCCATGTTAAGCATAAGAATACCAGTTTTTGGTTTTCTTCAGAAGAGAAAATGGAAAATCGAAATTGGAGTAAGGGAGATTACCGCAGTGCGTACTTTTAAAAAACATGATTAAGCAACAAACAAATCATGAATAACAACAGCGATGTAATGACTGAGACATCGATCATCAACGGCTTAGCCAACAAACACTCAATACCTTAGTCAACTGAACAATTACCCAGAATATATCACACAGAGAGCGGACACTGACATATTCATCTGTTAAATGTAATGTCAGGTCACCAGTTAACACTGGCTCCGTGTCGCTAAACACTTACAAGGACAACGTGAACAAAAATGCACTTCAGAGCCAAACCCAAAAGACTGAATAATGTTAGTAAGCAACAGCATCACACATCTTTTGCAATAGTGAGGATCACGTTTCAGTAATTTCAATGGTGTTTTAAATAAAAGTTACTTCCTCAGTATACTCAGTTCCTAGCCAGGATCTGTGAGTGTCTAGTTTGTACACGCTTCCTGTATCCCCAGAGTCATGAGACATGCTGGCTAGACAAACAATCTCAATGGAGCCCATAGTGTAGGAATGTGCATCCTGTGATGGACTGGGATCTTGTCCAGGACGCCATGTCCTGTTTTTCCTGGATATATACTCATGCATTGGATAAGGGGTTAAGGAGGAATGGATGGAAAGATATTCCAAACACATTTTCACCTATTTTCCTGGGACTGTGGCACGTGTTTTGCGGCTGGTTTGGGTGCAGCTTCCGCCGTTGACAGCCGCCTGTAAGAGGCACTGAAACACAATCCGGCGGCGCTGCGATTCTTCAGAACTTCTTCAGAGACAAAAAGATTATTAACATAATACTCATACCTCTACGAGAATTTTATTTAATATAACTAGGTAAACACCGCTTTTGGATAAAAAAATAATAATTGCGTAATTTATTGCTAGTCGAAGGGTGAACGATGCTTTCAAGCCAGTGCGACAGTACAGTCAGCTAGCCATGTAGCTAAAGATGTCATCATAGGCATGCTGTATGATAAAACGGGAACTTTCCGTGGAAAACTACACAATCGACATGTCCTTAAAGACGAAAGAAATCGCCAGTGAATGAAACAGTGCAACTTCACGAACTGAAACTCACCCCGGAGTGACCGACTCACGCCAGCCGTCAGTGCCATTTTAGCTGCGCTGAGGTGAAAGCGTCCCCCGTCTCGCCAGGAAAAGAGCACTTTGGTTCCTTGTTTTGTTCAATCATATATTTACTGTGTATTCCCTTTTAGGATGGAGACCCTGTCTCTGCAATGTTACAACTGCCCACATTCACTGATAAGTAACGAACTCATACATCTGCAAAAACCCCCCAGCTAACGCACCGCAGCGGACTCCGCCTATCCGCCCCTCTTCGGCACCTGAAGGTGACACCTCCGCTAGTAGCCTACTGCTGAGAACAGTAATATAAAATAAACCCAGCATCAAACATCTCATGTATTTATATATGGCTTACACAAGTGGTTTTTGTTGTTCTGCATAAGAAACAAACGTAATATAATGAGCTCACGTGGATTTTTTACATCCAGGGAAGTGGGAAATTCTTTTGGGTTTAGTGTGCCAAGTTAAATTCCACGAATTTTACAAACGACTACACGTATAACCCCAACATAAAAATAACTAAGTTATTATTATTGGGGAATTGCTTATTAAAAATGAAATTAGTCACCATAAAGAGTAAAAGATGATTTAATGATTTACTCATTTTGTTACTGAGCAACTAATTAAATTATTTTAATAAGGTGGTAAAATATATATTTTAAAAGATATTTGCATATTTTCTTTTGACTTGTGCATTAGGGTGGGGTGAAAAAATCAAAATTGCCAATAGCAATTTCCAATAGTGCGGAAAAGTCACTGGACCTCGTTATTAAACGTGCAAAATATCTTTGAAATACTGTAGGTTAATATGATCCAGGTTCCGCAACGCGATCGAAGTTTTCACGTGTCACATCAATGGGCAATATACACTATCCATTATCTATACTCATCGGTATTGTGTTTGTGCACTTTCACAACATGATAATCACTACAAAATACCAACGTTCATGTAACGCAGATTTTTACTGGGTATCAGCCATACGCATACATTACATCGCTCTGCGGCTCTACGTGCATTAATTATGATTAATCACCTTACATATTTTTTGTAATGTTGTTCCTGTATTGCCATCTTATTGTTTTTCACTATGTGACGTTTTAGTTTGCTATTGTACTGTGTTTTGAGATCTACAGAAGTTACTTGTGCATGTGAGTGCTTTCTCTTGCCAGTGAACTTTACATCCTGGAATGCAGAACCGTGCAGTGTTGAAACTGGTGTGTTTGACATGAATGTTTTGGCATTCATCGGTGTTGTGTTTGTGCACTATCAAACCATGATAATCACTACAAAATACCAACGTTCAGGTAACGCAGATTTTACTGGGTATCAGCAATACACATACATTACATCACTCTCCGGCTCTACGTGCATCACGATCACTGTCAGTGTCACATCAATGCGCAGATCCACGCTACATTACGTATCATCCATATCATAACGCAATGTAAAATTGTTCCTCAGTGCCACCAAAATGAAAAGTATTAAGCATGACAGTCAAAATGGTTAGATATACTATATTACTAAAAATATTGGGACACCTGAATTCAATGATTTGGAGGGGTGTCCCAATATTTTTGGTAAGACCCAGATGGATAAAGCGGTATAGATAATGGATAGTGTATATTGCCAGTATGTCAGTGTAAACATGCTCCTGAGCGCCACATTTCTGAATGAGTCGTTTCCCACTTACTCCTTTTCACTGACCGATTGTTAGGTTCTTGTATTAAATTGGAACAATTTTACATTGCATTATGATATGGATGATACGTAGCGTGGATCTGCGCATTGATGTGACAGGTGAAAACTTCGATCGTGTTGCGGAACGTGAAAATATTAACCTATTTCAAAGATATTGTGCACCTTCAATAACGAGGTCCAGTGACAACTGTTTCCCACTATTGGAAATTTTGTTTTTTTTCACCCCACCCTACTGTGCATACAGAATATGATGCGCTGATAAAGTGTGCTATTGATATTGGGTTTGGAAGATGCCCATATTTGTACATACAGGATTATTCCAATGACTAGTCAGTCGTTTTGATAAGTAAGTAGGCATTATTCAACCCATCAAGAGCTTCAAAACAAGAGGGAAAGTTTTTAAATCAAGTCACAAGTCATGACTTATGATAGACTGGCATCCTATCCAGGGTGCACCCAACCTAGTGCGGCAGTAGATACACACCAGCTCCCATAACCCATACCCAGGAAAAGTTGCTTGGATGGATGTATAATATCAAAATATGACAACCTGAATCTCACACATGTATACTGTATGTTCACCGAATCTAGTTGGATGCCATCAGACACATTCTGATCAATTTCCATTAACTCAACAGTCAAAATGATTACTGACAAATTTGATCTAGAACAAAGCCTTCACCAATTAAATATTGCCATTTTTCAAAGACCCTGTAAAGGACAAGCGATTGGACGTTGAGTTGTGGATAATGCCATTTTCCTGCCATAGAAATGGCAATATACAGATTTACAGCTGTTTTACGACAGTTTGTCCCAGTTTCCGTCGTCTTTTCCGTGATGCCACGCCCATTTTAAAATATGCAGTTTGATTGGTGGAGAGCTTGACCTGCCGTCCAAAAAGTGTCGCAGGGAAGCACAGGAAGTGACTACTGTTAGTAAAATTTTATTTTCACTACAGTATATCCGGTGACATTTTATGAGAGACATTTTGATATTTTAAATAAGAAAACGTTCATTCTTGAAAAATGGTAAGAGTGAAGGTAATCGGGAATGATTCTGAATTCCAGTCTGAGCTTACAAGCGCCGGCTCTAGACTCGCCGTAGTCAAGTTCACAATGGCCGGGTAAGGCTGAAATCTAGCCGTTGGCTCCATTCTCTGTTACTGTAAATTTGTTTGTGTGATCATGCTTTTAAATAAAAAAACGGTTAGCCAATTGACAGTAGAAACATACCTGTTTAGCTGAACATGCTCCTCCATAATTTTGATTGATACACTTCATTTGGTAGCTACGGTTAGTCGACCGTGAGGCTGCTTTTAGTTAGCATTGCATTGTAATAATGCTGAGTACACATTAGTCATCATATTTAGCCAACATATGCTAACCAGGTCTAGGTAATTCGCTACCAGTTGTAACAGTTTATAATACGATACCTATTCGTCTCTCTTAAATTACGGCCCGTTTGACGTTTGTTAGCTAGCCGGCCAGATAATGTCTCATTACTTTTTGTAACTGTTCGTATTTTTTTTATACAAGTTTATTTTGCAGTGTCGTCTTGTCCCAAATACCGCATTACGGCTTGTGGGATTCTTTAAATTTCGTTTATTTGCGCGTCTTCGCAAACTGAGTGCACAATAAAGCAGATAGAAAGCGTGTTACTGCCTTGTAATAACGTGGCCGACCCCCGCCTGAATAACGGGGCATTGAAAATGGAATCAAGTGTTAATACCTCACTGTTTTTATAAGTATGTCCTTTACAGTGTAAATATATCGGGCAGTAAATCTATGAAAGATGTATGAGTCTGTCTTAATCATGGAATGGAGGTTACCGATATTGAGCCTGCTGCTGGAGGCAGAACATTAGATTAAGACAGTAACTGCGTGGATTCTGTAGTTTCGATTTGCCTTGAACAGGAGGCAGAAGAACATTTTATTGAGGAATATGTTGGATCGTGTGGAATTATACAAGCTGTATGCTGTATACTGCGGTATGTTTAACACACTGTTGTGTTATATATGGCACGAAAGTCAGATGCTGATTGGTCAGTGGGATTTATGACGATTGTTCGCATGATATTAACGTCATTGTTAAACTCCTTTTATCGTCTCGATCAGGAAAAAAATCCTTGTAGTAGTAATAGTAACATTTTAAAATAAATCTCAATAAACTACTTATTTTTTTAGGTGTCGGCCCTGCATTAGAATAGCTCCTGCCTTCAACTCGTTGAGTGCCAAGTATCCACAAGCTGTGTTTCTTGAAGTTGATGTGCATGTATGTCAGGTAAGGTTCATTAGATAGTAATGTGCAGGCATTGCTTTCAGTGATATGAATAGGTGTAACAGTTTTCAAACCTAATGGCTGTTGTGTGTCTTATCAGTTGACACAATTGGTATAGTAGTGTATCACTTTATCTGGTGCCTGAGAGGGCACTAATCTATGAATCCAAATATGAAATAAATACTATGTAAACAGTACATATTTATGTAAAGTACAGAGATGTGCTACACAGTAACATAAGGTTTAATATTCTTTCCCATAGCCAGAAATGGGGTTATTACACAGCAGGATCTTAGAGAGAAGTTAGATTGGCAACATTTTAATAATGAAGTACCAGCAGTTCCTTTATAAAAACTGTTATGAGAGAATGTGCTCCACAACCTAAGATTACAGAACTGTTTACTAGCAAAGTCATAAGCAGAGGGCAGATTTCTGAGATGTAGATGCAGTGTTTAGGTACGTAATTGCTCTGATAACAAAAATAGAAGTGAGTCTCTGTGAATGAATAGCGAACAATGAACAATAAAGGAACTTAATTTCCTGTGTTGACAAACTCAAGTATAAAATAGCAAAATAATGAAAATGAAGCTATTTAACCTATCACACACAGTATTACTGGTCAGGATAAATGTTCAGATTATGCGGTATTGATTTATTTATTTATTTTGCAGGCAACTGCTGCTGGAAACAACATTTCAGCAACACCCACATTTTTGTTCTTCCGGAACAAGGTGCGGGTGGATCAGTACCAAGGAGCTGATGCCACTGGGCTTGAGGAAAAGATCAAGCAACATGTGGAAAATGACCCTGGAAGTAGTGAAGATTCTGATATCCCAAAAGGATATGTGAGTACATAGGTCTGATATCCCAAAAGGATATGTGAGTACAAAGATCTGATATCCCAAAAGGATATGTGAGTACAAAGATCTGATATCCCAAAAGGA